GAAGTACGGAGATATAGCTCCTCTGTTAGATGTTGAGGATATGGTGCGGATGCAGAAGCCGGACTGGAAATGTGTCTTTACCTACGTACAAAGTCTCTATCGTAAACTACACACGCACGAACGCAACAGAACAATGGCCACGGTCGGCGAGTGACCGCAACACATAGCAATAACGTAACGCAAACTTATGGAAACTCAGACATTTGAAATAAAATATATTTTTTATTTTCATGATTATGTTACTAGAAATCCACAAACCTCACTCCTTACTTTGATGCCAAGCTCAGTTTGTGTTCAGTTCCTAGGGCTCTGTCATTAATGTGTTTATCTGTGTACAGGTTGTTCAACCTTTTGCATGGAGTCCACCATGATACTAATTAAAAGTCACACGTGCCAATATTTATTTCTTTTTAGATATAGCCACGCCAATATTGTACATATGATTTATTAGGCTTTAGAGATTTTTTTTTATTTGTATATAATTGATTTCTTTGTAACATAAACTGTAATATTTTTGCAGCATTAAATGAATATTACTAGCAATAAACTTTGATATTATAATTTAGTGTTTTCGCAGTGATATATATTTGTTGGAAATCCAATGTTAGATGTTTATGCAGATATATATGTGTGTGCAGCAATATACAATATTCATGTATGTTATTGTAGATTAAAGTGTTGCGTATGCGCAAAGGATCTGAGAGCGATCCTTTCGCGCAATTTCTATGTTAACGTGTAGAGACATAACTTTTCTGCCAAAGCTTTGTACATGTTAAGAGTCACTTTATACAAATCATTAAATGATGAATTAAAGAAATAAAATAAAGTGAAAAGTGAGAGCTCCACGTTTTATTTAGAGTTTGATCTGGCATTTAAGATAATGCAAGAAATGATGAGATCAGAATTGCAGGGCTGTCGCCAGGTTTCTGGAAAGGGGTAGGGAGGGGTATCCCTCTTCTAGACCAGATTTTTTTTTTAATAAACGGGTACCATTTTGGTTGGTTCTGATGTATACTTAATTTTTTTTTTTGGTACATTGAATTGTGGCGGTCAAACGGGTTTGATAGCCGGTGGCCGGGTGGCTCAGTTGATGGAGCACCTACTGGAAATTAAGGGGGTTCGAATCTTGGTCTGGTCTGTTGCATTTTTCTCCTATTACATTTGATGCCCTGCCATGCTCTGAAAGTAAAAGCTGAAGGACCTGCTAAGGAAGATCGTGGGTTGGTGTCTTAGGCCGGGGCTGAAGACCTTTAAGGAGGGGGGAATGGCGGTCAGACGGTTCGATCGCCGGTAGCCAGAAAGCTCAGTAGGTAGAGCACCTGACTGGAGATTCAGGGGGGCCTAGGGTCGAATACCGGTCTGGTCCGTCGCATCTTTCTCCTCTCCTGTTGCAGAATAAATGATAGCAGCATTGCTTTAAACACGAAAAATGAATTTATTTTGTTTCAAAAAAGATTTTTTTTCGATCTTTGCACCCCTCGTTCGAACAGCCTGTAATGCTGTATACATAGGTAGCCAGTGTTTTGAACTTTTCTCATGATCGGTCGACCAAAGCTTCTTTTTATCTAGGACTATTGCTTTTGTCATATTTCTTCATTCTTATGTCATAATTATCCATTCCTAATCACCACTAGCTGAATTCTGCTATCGCGTCAAAGATTTGAATAAGTGATAGAATTTCATTTCCCTTAGGGGTTACCAAGGCCAGAAATTAATACAAAGGCAGAGAGACAACTATAAACAACCAAAATGAATTGTTTAATCGTATTTGATCTGTTAATTAAATTCACGTCTCGCACACATGCATATTTTATTTTTGTTTAAATTTTAAATTCTTGATTTTTTTTCTTTTTTTAATTTTTGTCAGTTGCATTGGTACATAAAACCCCGACCTTTGGTGACTATGCCATACTTATCTCTCGGTGCATATGTAAAAAAAAAAAAAAAAAATAAAAATAAAAAATAAAAAAAAAATCAAAAGCTAGGTTATTTAATTACATTTTCAAAACTCTAATGCGTAAAACAGCCACTGTGCCTAGAATTTCCCATATTTTGGAAACTTAGGTGGACGGTTCATGTATGGAGTCCAGGCATCCTGGTCAAAGCAGAGCCATACACGAGTAATATACAAAACGTGACCTAGTGAAAACTAAAGCATTGAATTTTTTTTAACTAAATATGATAACTATAAACATGCCTTTTTGTAAAAAAAAAAAAAAAAAAAAAAAAAAAAAAAAAAAAAATCGTTCATTCTGAAGTAGTGACTTGAGACCATCATCCATAAATACATGTATTTCTTACTCTATCGACAATTACAACCGGCCAGTTTAATGTGGAATTGTAGCTTCTCTTCAAAGAAGGATTTTTATTTAAATACAAACACTGCAATATTGGTTACACTGGATATGTATAAGTTGATGTTCAGGCCATCTTTAAAAAAAAATGTTTGGTTGCCCTCTCCCGACCGACTGGCTAAAAATGGCCTGACTCAAAACTTTTTTCAACCTCTAGGAGTTAAGATATTTTTTTTTCTTTTTATTCCTGCATTTTCCCATTCCGTCAACATATATGTTGAAATTTACTGAGAAAAAAAAAGATTCTCTCACCTACCTACCGACCCAATTTTTTTTAACCTGAGCTGGGAGAGGGTAAGCAAACATTATTTTAAAGATTGCCTCAGTTGTATCTTTTTAATTTCCTAGGTTGCGTCAGCATATATTTAAAATTGCAAAGTGTGGTATTCAGCCATGACTGAATTATTAATGAGCCAAAATGCATCTTATGGTATGCATTGAATTCTATTTCATAATATTATAAAAAAAAATCAGGTAAATTAACTTTTATGAACCAAACGTCATTATTTGTTTGACAACGTGAACTTCATCATAATAATTCATCATAAACACACAATAAGCAAAAATGGGCGATACATAAATATGGATGAAAGGGTCATTCTACTGAAATATTCCAAATAGGATGGCAATAAATTTTAATTTGTAAATTCAATTATACTTCTATTTAATGTCGATTGATTTTTATTGTCTTTGTCCTGTTGATTCTATTCTACCTCGCAAGAATTTAGAAATTATGAAAGAACATGTATGAAGCATTCTGCACTACTGCAGAAAAGTAAATTTTTGTAATTGAATATTTTTATCCGAGATAGTTATAGATAAGTTAATGATTTAAATTTCGATGTATTAAACATATAGACGACAGAACAGGAAAACGCAGCTATCTTGAAGGGTTCCTTCTGTATTTTCTATGCTCTGATTGGTTGTTTATTAGTATCTATCTTGTTATTGATGGCGAATGCCCATTTGCAGGGATAATAAAATTTAACAGGGTGGCCAATTTCCCAAAATTTGTCAAAATTCGTTATGCAATGGTCATGGGAACAGGCGGCACCCAACTTTTTAAAGAACAAAGGTATGGTAAGGACCGAATTTGGCCCCTTATTTGATATAAAAATCAAAACAGTTGAAATTGTGATAATTTGTTTTTTACTTTTCATTTCAGGAAACATAGAGCATAAGCTTGCATGTCTGCGATTTTCATACACAAGATATATCTGATACTATTGCCTAAACAATATAAATTCTGTAGATAGGCTTGTGCTCTGTGTTTTTTAAAATAAAATGGGGCGTAAACTTTATGAAAATTAGAAAAAAAAGAGAAAATTCGGAAATTGATTTTCTGTGACCTCTGTGTATCATATCACTTTGAATCAATACTCATCCTCCAACAGGGATAACAAGAGGTTTTGAAAACTAGTGCATTGTTCTATACGAGGCACCCTAAATCAGGGGCCAAAAAGGGGTCTTGTCCTTTCCAAAATTTGCTAAAAATTTTAAGGCGATATTATTCAATAGAACTTAAAGACTTACTTTTTTTGGATTTCATTTAGAACCTTCATTTATCTATATGTCGCCTGCGTGGCGCAGTGGTAAGAGCGTTTGCTCTAGAGTCGCAGAGTAAGGATCCTTACGTCGCGGGTTCGAATCCCACTGTGGGACGTGGAGACCGGTCCTTCGGATAAGACCGTATAAACCGAGGTCCCGTCTCGCAGTAGGTGCTGGCACGGAAAAGATCCCTAAATGCTCAATGGCCCTGAGTGCCGAGTATAGGTCAAAATTTGCAGCTCTCCAACAGCAAGTGGTGGCGTCTCCAAATGAGTGAAAAATTCTCGACAGGGACGTTAAACAACCAACCAACAAACAAATCATTTATCTAACTGTGGCGACTTCTGCGCTACCGCCTGTGCTTGAATTCGTGAACTCCTCCAAAGTAAGTTTGATGTAAGTGAAGCATGTGTTAATTCAAGATTGCCCAAACAGTGCGTGTTGGTAAGCACTAATGATGTCAAGAAAATATGCCAGTTTAGATTTAATATGCGTCTTATAGGACCTGCACAAGATTTATTCATCAATAATAATGTGTACGTTTAATGACAAAAATATCGATATACAAAAAACCTACCTTCTGAAATTTTCTATGAATTAGAGTTAAAGTAAATCCACGTTATATAATATTCAATCAAAATTCCTTTAAACTCACTAAAAAAGTGTTTGCAATAGGGAGTTTCATTTAACCCTCCAAAAAATCTTAGAACAGAAGGTCGAAGTTCATTAATTGAAAATCAGTGCCCCAATGAAAATATTTTGAATGTTTTAATGAAATTGATAAAAGATTAATTACTGAACATGAACAATGCATGTAAAAACAATCAATTTATGTTAAGTAAAATGTACCAAACGGTGTCAAGGAAATGAATGATAGAACACGACAGGCAATCCGTGTGACATGTCAAATTGCGACCTCCGTGTCGAGTAATTGGAAATTGAAAAATCAGAAACTTATGAATATTCAAAAGAATCAAGTCATGCGCTTCAATGTGGGGGTACCGATTCCCGGCGCTCACGACTAAGGAATTATTATTTTCAATAATAATTAATTAGAGTGCATCGGTATCAATGACAGCTAAAATGACGACCTTTCGTAGAGTTCTAAGGTATATAAGGCGCGTATGATCGGAGTTTCGGTACTCCATCCATCATGGTTCAGTCTAGAATTGCTTTGGTGTGTTTGGTTGTCGTGTTGCCTTCGGTAGCTGTAAGTAGTTTTATAATATATAATATACGTAATGGTACATGTACTAACTAAACTGTACTTGTACAAAGTAATAAAAAGAAGAAGATAAAATTTCTATCCAAACTGGACAAATTGATTTATGAAATAAGTTAAAAACATTTTGATTATGCACAATTAAAAAAAAGCAAATTAAAAAAAATGCTTTCCTCTCATTGGAATGAGTTTTCCTTTACTACAATGATTGAAAGCAATATGATATTTTCTTACATAATTGTCTATACAGAAAGTAAAACAAGTTTGTGAATTCATGATTTTTTCCGGACAATTTTTTAAAATTTTGTTTTTTTTCTTCTCAGGGCTGGTGGTTAGCAAACCAGAACCAGAATCTGAACAACAATGTCAACGTAAACACAGGATTTTATGATCCACCTCCTGCCCCTGCCCCAGAGCCCCCGGCACCAAAGCCAAAACAAGTGATTCACGCCACCAAAGACCACGTTGTCAGCATCAACTTTCACGCTCCCATTAAGAACAAATTCATCCCAACACTGAACGTCGGAGGATTTGGTGGACCTGCACCCAAGAGTCCATCAGCTTCACCAAAGAAGAAGTCACCAAAGAAATCTCCTAAAAAGGGAAAGAGACCACCCATGCCTAAAAAGAAGACTCCTTCTCCCAAGAAGTCCAAGGCCCCGAAAGAAAAAGCACCCAAGAGTTCTCCTCCAAAGGGCTCCCCACCCAAGGGCTCTCCACCCAAGGGTTCTGGAGCTAAGGCCGCTGGCCTCCCAATGAACCTTGTCTTTAACAACAACTTCCCACAGAACATGATGAATGTTGTCGGAGCTCACAACAACGTTAGAGGCAAGGGAGTGCACATGCCAAACAATAATGCCGGAGGAACCCAAAAGGTCACCCAGAGCTACCACGCCACCGGAGGAATCCAGACTCAGAGTGGTGGTCAAGGAGGACAACAACAGGGCGGCGGACAAGGAGGAAGCCAGGGCGGATACAAAAGCTGGGGTGGTTCTCGATATACCAACATCCACTCAGTAAAATACCCAAGCAATGATGTCACAGTCATCGGAAGTGGAAACGAGGTTCATACCGTTGCTGGGTTATATAATAATGTAAAATATCAGAAGAAAGTTGCTCCCAAGCCAGATCCCGTACAGGGAATGCAGTTTAAACTTCTACTGAATTTGCTCCAGAAAATGGTTGTAAAAGTTAACCATGCCCCACAAACAACACCTGCAACAGAAACTACTACTACTACCACTGAAGCTACAACAACTCCAGCAGAAACCACTACAACTACCGAGGCTACCACCACTACTACCACAACAGAGGCGACCACAACCACAACTGAAGCCACAACCACCACCCCAGAACCTACAACCACAACTACAGAGGCAACCACTACAGCGTTCTCTTTAGCTCAAAATTCAATGCTGTTAGAAGCTCTTTTAGCGCAGCTCACTGGCAGTTCTAATGTACAGACACAACAGGCTGCCGTTCTAGACCTCTACGGACGAGGAGGACAGAAATCAGTTTCCATGTCTGCTAACTCAGGAGCAGGTCAACAAGCCACTTTGGACATCTTGGGTGCCTTGCAACAAGCTCCCACCACTCCTCCACCATATCTTGATCCAGTGGCCCAGCTTGACCTTCTTGCAGCTGGTGGAACTATCTCAAATTCGTACGCCGCTCCTGGTGCCTCACTCCCTGGAGTCACCTCTGCCCCTGCCGGTACTGCCGGAGGAGTTGATCTCGGCTGGCTGGCTAAGTATATGCCTCAACTTGCTCTTCACAAACGGGCCCCAGTCAAAGTCATCTCTGGGGGTTACGGTAAAAGGAAGATTGTGAAGTGAGGTCACTGATTGAAACGATCTTTCAACTGACTTGCAATTCATGTCTCAGTCAAAACACATTTTGAAAATTATTTCTATTTTTTTTCTGATGAAGTATTGTGATATTTATTGATCAGTATTATACACAATCAGTGGTTAAGCCAGGTATTTCGTATCAACAAAGATTTTTCATACTTTCGAAACAGAGATGTATGAAATCCGTTTTCTGAGGCACGATTGTTTTTAAAATGCAGGAATATTGTGGTGTTTACTGTGTTATTTATTTTTTAAATGTTTTCTTGTCGTGTTGATAATGGCTTTTTACATGTATGGAATAAAGCCTTTTTAATTGAAATATTTTCTTTTTTTCATACTTTAAAATCGTTTTTAGGATGAATATAACATGTAAGAAAATGAAAAAAAAAATGATATGTTATCTCGCAAACAGAAAAGGATCAAACTAAAAAGTGTGTTCTTATATGAGGTTGCTTTACAAAACAAAACCATGCCTATTAAATCACACAGGACTTCCTTTTCTCTGACAATGCCGATTAAAGGGAAATTATCGATTACAAATATCTAGCATTGATTAAGACAACATCAAAATATTTATGATATTTCTCAGACGTATGTGTCAGAACAAAAGTCAACATTATTCATTTAATATGCAAACGATGCTTCAAAAGGTCAGGTATAATCAAGGAGCCATGCTTTCAATATATATACATAACATATTCGATAAATGAGCGACTAATGAATGATCACAAAAACGATGATTAACAAATTAATTGGTAACGAGAGTACCTTGGGACGAGGAAATCAAATCATTTCAGAATGTCAAAATTTGACCCTTATTTGTCGGAGGGAAATTGCAAGTGTCGAAATAAAGACACCTAGATGATCATGTTAGCATATCTCTGATCACGTACAGGTATCAATGTCATTAAAAATTATTTATCGACATAGCACCATATTGACTTGTAAAAAATGTAAAATAAATTAATTTGATAATTAATTCATATGATTACCAACAGAGGAGGCGTATATATAGGGACAACAAACAACTGCAGATCAGATCACAGGCATGGTGAGGAACAGGTTGGTTCTCTGTTTGGTTGGATTCCTCCCTCTAATACAGGTAAATATCTACATGATATAGTATTGCAATTTCAATTTTTTTTTATTGTAAGCATTTTTATTCTTACTTTGGTATAACATATATATGACAATTGGTAAAATGATAAATTCTAAACAATTGTACTTTGCCTGTTTTTTCCTACCTTTTTTTTTTTTTAAAAATAAAAGTGTATCAGTTTATTTATGATTTCTTTTACTTCTTTCAGGGGTGGTATCAGAACCAAAATCAAAACTCAAATGTTAACATCAATACGAATTCCCCGGAGCCTTTTGTTTTCGTCAGTCATTCTAATACAGCTTCGTACCCAAACACAAATGTTGTTACCCACACTCAAGGTACGCATGATACTCACGTCAGATTGAATTTCCATGCGCCGATCACCAATAGCTTCAGTCCAACTCTTTCCATAGGAGGAGGTTGGGGCCCAGCTAGGACACCGTCAGCTCCCAAAACTCCAAAGGCACCTAAAAAGTCACCCACACCAAAGAAATCACCAAAAAAGATGAAGCTTCCTAAAAAGAAAGCACCAGCTCCACCCAAAGCCAAGAATCCTGCTCCTCCTACCACCATCCCTCCAATCCCAACAACAACCCCACAAAAGGCTCCGAAAAAGGCACCAAAGAAAAAATCTGGAGGTTCTCCTAAGAAGAAGAAGGTATCGAATCCACCTTCAAAAGGGGGGCCAGTATACCCACCACAAAGACCGCAGTCTCACTTTGTTAATATTAAATCTATTAGATATCCCAGCAATAAAGTGACCGTTATAGGACATCAAAACGAGGTCCACACAGTTGCTGGATTAAGAAACAACATAAAATATCAAAAGAAAGTGATGCCACAGCCAAGTCCCAACCCAAATATGCAAATTTTGTTGAACCTCTTGCAAAAAATGATTGTGAAAGTAAACAAAAAGCCTGTTCCAACAACAACAACTACTACTGCAGCCCCTGAAACAACTACAACCACAACTCAAGCAACGACCACTGAAGCCACAACTACCACCACAGAAGCTACCACAACCACCACTACTCCTGCCCTAACAACCACACCAACTACCACTACAACCACTGCCGCTACAACAACAACAACTGCACTTCCATTCCCAACCTACACGATCGAACCTATCAACCAACAGTCTCTTCTGATGGAGGCCTTACTCTCACATATGTTAGAACCTAGTGCTGGAAGTTCGGCTTCTCTTAACTACATAGGGAATACGGGAAAACAAGTATCATTGAACAGTGGTACAGCTTCACAGAGCAGTTCTTTGTTGAGCAACCATGGTCTATCATCTCAAGCAGCTACTGGTTCTCAGACCAACACAGGACAAGGATCTCAAATGGGATTAGGAGCTGGATTTGGAAACTCCGTGGCTCTTGATGTATATGCTGCAGCATTGGCAAATCAAGCTACCTCACCTAACCCTCTGTTGGACCCCTTACAGTTACCAGGTGTCCTCTCTGGGTCACCAGGAGGAGGAGCTAACACTGCCCCGGCCGACTTGGCCTGGCTACAGAACTACATTCCACAACTAGCACTCACCAAGCACGGAAAGGTTGCTGTTGTTAAAAAACTGGCCAATAAGAGCAAAACGAAAGCCTTCATAAGCAAGAAACTATCCGTTTAAAGTGGAAAATTCAGTATTAAGACAAGTGTGTAAAAGTTCGGACGTAAGCGGATGCAAGAAGACTGTGTTTGTACATATACCTCAGGATACGATTTCGTTATATAATTGTTCTTAAATTATTTCACTTTTAAATGTTAATTTATTTATAGTATTTATTCATGACTAATAAATTATTGCACATAAGCTATGATGTATTTTTTTTCACTATTATATATCCATAAAAAATTACGATGTTCAACTTTTAGGCGTTGTTAAGTAAACTTTATTATGGCAAAGATGGAAAACCCGAATTCATTTTATTTATTTCGAATGGAGTGTTGAGATAAAAACAACATATAGTTGAAAATCAGCCTTTATTTCCTATACATCGATGCAGAATAAAATTGACATGAAAGAAAAATCCAACATGTAATGATGACACATTTGATTTACACAATCATTATACAATTATTCAGGTTTGCTAATCAGAAAAATGTGAGGCGTCAAAAAGATTTTTTGCTTCTAATTATGACAGGTAAAATTTCCAAGGTCGATTGATTTATGAACAACGAAGAAGGAAATTAATATATTAAATTTACATACTTCTGCCATTGAAATAGCTTTGAGAAAAAAATTGGATTCAACAAAATAAAAAAAAATAATGAAGAAATTCAGTACATCATTTTGAGAAAATCAGCAAGAGTATTCATAGAAAGTGAATTATCAGCAGGGCTTTTCTTTGTGGATTTCATGAATACAATAAAGGCACAAAAAGAAAAAAACACTTTAATCAAGAAAAATGCACATATCACCTCTATATATTACTGGGGATTGTAAAGGTTGGTGTGTTGCGACGATGGACTCTATTGCAATGTAAGATTGTGAAAAGTTTAACAGTAATTCAAACTTGAAGTCATGATATATGAAAATTATTTTTAAAAATTTTAAAAACCCACCGATTTAAGAATGTTTAAATTATTATCATCTGTTAATTTTTTCAGAGCTTTTGGCGATAAATTAGAAATTGGAAAATATTAATACACGTAAAATGGTATAAACTTAAAAAAAAAGATTGAATATTTCAAGCAGATAGTTCTAGTGCGTTCTCTACATAATAAGAACAAAAATTTCTTATGCTAGTAGTTCGTGCTCCCTGTCTCATTACCATCTGAGCTCGCACGCTCGTTACAGTTAGATGAACCTGCAATCCTATGGCACTGAAATATTGTCCTTAGAAGTGAATGGTAATAATCTTTAAAAGTGATATCGAAATAACCGTATACAAATGGATTAACGATGTTTGAGAGGAGATGGAACCTTCTAAGAAGTAACAAAATTGTCAATTCCCATCCTGTCATCTCTAACCAAAAGCTGGGCTTTCCTCTCTGGATTAAGAGTAAGGAAAAAGTAGGTATGTAAGCCAAAAGGTAAGTAATGACTATAACTCCAAACATCATGTGAAAATTAAGGGTAATGTTCGGTCGTCTGCGATTTTCGCGCCTTTCTGCTTTCAAAGCAGTTTCCACGTCGTTAGAATCCGAGGTGGCTGACGCCAAAGCATCAATAGAATTTGATGGAAAATCTTGAGCATTTTGTGAAGACTTTAACTCTCGATGTTTTCTTAAAATCACCATTCCCACAGGAATGTAGAAAAGAGTGGTTGCCAGTATAAGAAGAAGTGATAGAATAAAAAGAAACACAAGATAATTTTCTTCCGTTCCTACGTATTTACCAGCACTGGCTTCACAGGAACACTTCGTCCTATTTTTACTGTCCGCAAAAGAAAGCTTGATTTCAACTGTTCCAGAGAAAATGCACATCGGAATAGCAATAACCATAGGAAGGAGAACAACAGTTAAAACAACTATGATCCTATGATGACGAGGATCCAAGTATCGTTTGGTTGGTTTGTAAATGAGGAGAAACCTCTGTAATGCGATGATGAATATCATCAGAGAGGAAGACGATGGTGTTGTCCACATAAAATACGTTATTATTTTACATACCACATTAGACGGAAAGTTAACACTGAAGGAATTAAAAAAGATTACACTGATGACTGTATCTATACTGGTTATCATATCTAGGACAGCTAATAACAGTATATAGAAACGGTTACCTCTCTTTTGCTTAAGGCGACACACATGAACAACTACTGAATTTCCAACAATGCCGATTACTAGAAGACATCCTAGCACAATGTTGAAAGGAATTCTAGATAAGGAAATGTCATGGTTCCATTGTGTAATAGATCGATTTATACTGAAGCAGTCCATTTTGCTTAAAACATCATATGGGACAAGAAATATACAGTATCTACTTTTGTTAAGGAAACGCAGTCGGATATGACAATAGATATGGATGTTTCCTTAAGCAATACTTTTACAGATACGACAACTTTCTTGTCGTTTCATGTTTAATTGTAGATTTAAAAGAATTTTTTTTTCGAATTAGAATGAATTTATTGATTTGAACTATCAGACCAGCTAATAATTTTACTTAACAATATATACATATTGAGCTGGTATAGCTTGAGCTGATCATGACAATACCATTGCACCAAAAGGAATAGAAGAAGGCATTCTACTTTTAACAGAGCAAAATGTACATACATGTACTGTCCAACCCTTTTTACAAGTTTGTCTATGCACTAATTTTTTTCATAAGGTACCAGATCAAAAAATCTATTTCTTAATAATTTAGAGTTTTGGGAAGATTTTTATCTTATTGGCAATTGAAAAGTTTGAACTTCTTATGAATAAAAAAAAATATATGTAAGTTATTTAAGTGTAATAAAAATAAGTACTTGATATCAAATTTGAATTAACATTCATCAAGTTAAGTTTTGAACTTGTGGAGTGCATGTTAATGAAAACAGTTGCACATGTTTTGTACATGATTTCTATTTTTGAAAAACCCCAAAAGTAATGGTAATGGTAATGCATTACTTTACTAAAGTAATGGCAATGTAATGCATTACTTTAACAAAATAGAGTAATGGTAATTTAATGCCCAATTTCTTGAAGTAATGGTAATATAATGCATTACTTTACAATGTAATTCACCCCAAGCCTGATATATATATATATATATATATATATATATATATATATATATATATATATATATATATATATATATATATGAAAGAACATATCAAAGAAATGTTTTCTACCAAAGGACAATTTTCGGATATCCGGAGTTTTACGTTGAAAGAATGCAAATTGTAATCTGCTGTTTCAGGAAAAAAACATTGACGAAATAGACTGGAGTGAGTAGATTTCTCATTTAAATAACATTTATGTGACGGTATACTCTGCTCTAATTATTTTCATAAAGCCGATAGGAATACATGTAGTTCCTTAATCCAATTAATCGATATTCTTTGCAGATTGGTGAACATAAAACAAATTAAGATTGCAGACGGTTGAGTTGAAATGAATCCTAACCTGCCTAAAAATACAAAACCTGCTGCATGTTTGAAGCAGTCTGTAGATTCGGAGAAAAGTGATACAGATGATCCTGTCACAGATGAAGTTGACCAGTTCCTGCAGGTCTCAGAGAGTACTGACAACAGACACAACCTAGTACCGACTATTGAAAAGTCATCGTCCAGTGATCAATTATCTTCAGATGATGAAGAAAACACTAACCGTCACTCGTTTGAAGATGAAAATCTGACTATAAAATCAAACGACGTGACAGTGGCATCTATGAGTGAGAATTCACTGCTTGGCGCAACCTCTTGTATTGATTGTACAAGCGAAGACTTCGAATTCCATTTGCAAGGAAATATCCTACTCGCTTATCAACATCCATTGTTTAAGATAGAAGAAGAGGATCAAGAGCTATACGAAAGCGATAATAAAGCAAAGATCATCAAATCAGAATTGAGCGGCGATTCAAACAGAAGTAGGAGAATAGAAGAAAGAGATAGAAGACGACGGTCATTAGGGACAAACAAGTGGAGTACAGAGGCGAATTATGACTCTGATGAGAGTGACGACAGTCTCAGTAGCTTTTCTTTGTCTGATGTCGAAAGTAAAGATCTGGAAAATGATTTAGATACAGAGGAAAACTTCAAACTATCAGTAGCTTCTGGAGAAGATAAGAATAGGATGTATCAGGAAGAGGAAAATAAAAACGACAATAATGACACATTTACCAAGGACAGTTTTGATAGTGACGATAGTGATCTCATATTACCATCTAATGGAGTTCAGCAACATGACAACAACAAAGAGCTGGTCTTTGACTTAGATAAATATCCAGAAACACAAGGCTTCAGAATTGAAGAAGTTGTGGACGAATCCACTGTTCATTTAGGATTTCTTTCTTGCAACAATGCAGAGGAAATAGCAGTAGCCCAAGGGACAAGTCAAGACTCTTCAAGATCTGAAATCAATCATTTGTCTTTAACAGAAATAAACGTCGAGAAAAAAATTGCCAAAAATACCAGTAAAACTTCAAATTTTAATGTTTCGATTAGTATCACTGATGCTAATGACGTGGATTCCTTGAGTGATAATTGTAGCTCAATTTCAAGTAGCTCAAGCGCTGAAGATGTGAGTCGCAGCAAATCTGATATTCCCAGTGCCATGGAAAAAGAGGTACTGTCAACCACCACAAGTCATCACATCAAGGGGACAAAGAATAGAGAAATTAAAATGGATTCTGAAAGAATGGCAGAAAAGCAGAGCAACAAATACGACGATGATTCGGTTAATGAAATCTCTGATAATAAAGAGAAAACAAAAGAAGCATCTCAAGAATTGCAAAATCAAATCCACAGTCAAATTGATCGTTACGAGAAAGAGAATAGTGAGAAAAGAGACACTATTACGAAAGAAAATATGGATTTGAACACTAGATCGGTCATACACAATTCTACATATATTACTGGACAAGTAAAGGGCCCAAACAAGTCCGACAAAAGCAAATATAATTGCATGGAATATCCATACACTCCACGCAATAGTGTCAGCGACCATCAAGGTGATGAAGTTGTTATTGAGGAGGAGCAAGACAAAGAGGAGGGAGACGATGTAATCGACGATTTTGTAAATGATGAAGACATAGTCTCTAAAATTAATGAGAAAAATGTTGAGAAAAACGAATCAAATGAACCATACAATTGCCATCCAATAGAATATAAATGAGTTGGAAAATACTGTAGAATTCATTTTTTAATTCTTTTCTTTCACATCTGTATATATCATAAAAATACGAACCATTAGTTACCCCTATAATACTCAGATATTGTACATATCTACTACATCTACTTGAAATGTCTAATTTTATGTAGCGGTCTGGGTTTACCATCACGATCAGAGCGTACTAAAAGACAGCGAATTTGAATCGTATGTAGCTTTGGAATAAGTCTAAGGTCTGGAATTACATGCAGCCTATGGGTAGATGGGGTAGAAGGGTCAAGACATATATAACTAAAGATGGAAATTTAAGTTTGTGAAGAAAATTTAATCAACCTCCTCGATAGCAATATAACTGCTTATGAGTGTGATTAAGGTAATGCAAATAATCTTTTGAGAAGATCTTAAAGTAATTAAGAAAAATGAAATTGTCATTCCAAGAAAACAAACATCAGATGGCGCTTCTCCAGTTTGTAAGAACATGAGTTCAAAATGGATTTTGTCCGAATTTCAGGCCAAGTTCAATATACTGCGTTATTATTACGATAATAATGCAAAAGTTCATGATTTTCATTCTTTGACTATATTTGTATATTTCAGATGACCATTTCATCCAAACGTTGAGAAATGTTCGACAGAATAAGTAACTTTTGTGATAGTGCATTTCAAATTGCGGTATTTCAAAGAGGTCTACAGAATTTTAATTTTGTTCTATGGCTTTTATAAGTACACTAAAAGAATTTATTATTCAAATATTTTTAAATCATTACAAATAAAATTATCATATTTCTTATATTTCAATACATCAAGAGTATAATGATTTATTATACTTCCTGTATTTTAAAATAATCACAATTCATATCTTATATACATTCTTTGTACATTGTACAAGCTTTCATAGAAATAATAAAGGTTAAAAAATGGAAAATGTTTCGGCTTTTATTAACCAATACCCCTTTATTTAAAACCAGTCTTAGAAGAAATATATTAGGCACCGTTTACCAACCTATAGACCTATCTTAAAACCAATAATTCAACATTATTTCCTTCGTTGTTGAATCCAACAAAACCTCTGTGGACACCAACCGTGTTCGAATGAATCAATCCATCATTCTGTCTATAAATATCGCTGAATATGAATCCATCACTGTCTTTTGGGATGTCACTTTTTTCTTGTTTAGATTTTTTGCGGCTGAAATGATTAAGATGGAATCCAAGTTGCACTTTAACAGGTTTCTTTCTAGTGAAAGTCTGCAATTTTATTTGATCCTTTACATTTTCATTTGCTTGTTTCTTCGTCTTTGGTTTTTCTTGGTCAGGATTAGATAACTGATGCGATGCAGGTTTCACATATGGGCTTGGAAGAAGAGCGTTCGAAACGGATGGTCTGGTATTGCTTGCAGCGTTCATGTTATTATCTGGAATATTCAATGTACTTACAGGATTAGAAATTTGTGTTTCAGATTTTGGTGGGGAATCAATGATCGGCTTTGTTACTACCAAAGACCCACTAGAAGATTTGGGCGTTGGCTTACTTAATCTAGGTAGAGAAGTTGGACCGTTATTATGAACAAGACTAGTGGTTTTTCTACTTAAAAGATTCCGGGGAGGTGATGTTGGTACAATGGTATTAGACAGGATGCCTTTGATTTTATTTGTTGGGGTGTTCAGTTTAATGTTTGGAAGGCTTGTGGTTTTTTGAACTGGTGGATTTTGATAGGGGAGAGTTGGCCTCAAGGTTGATTTTGTGACCGGTTTAGTTGTCGTTGGTTTTACAGGACTCTTCCTGAATGGGAGAAGTAGTGCTTTTCTCCTCTTTGGTGCGGTCGTTGTGGATAATAGTGGTTTCAAGCTGGAGGGTGTAACAATTGTAACTGTAGTTTGTGGTATCGAGTTTTTGGGAATAAACGAAGGTTGTTTTGTGACACCAATTTTCCTTGTACTTGGTGCAGAAGTTGGTCGCGGGATTTTTCTTGTAGTTTGAAAATTAGGGTTGTTCTGTGGGATAAAAGTTTTAGTCGCATAACTTGTATTTGGCTGCGGAAAATAAGGTTTTGTAGTATCCGTCTGTACGTGCCCATTGCTTAGAAGCGAGGCATTTATTTCTCCTCTACGAGAAAGATTATTAGTTTTATTCAATATTCCTTGGTTTGAATTAACACCTGAATTTATTTTTGTACCAGCTTTTGGGTCCAATGTTTGAATTTTTGGTCTAATCATAGAGGGCTTATTGCCGGGTAGTGTTTGCATTACATTTTTTGAAAGACCTATTGTCATTTTTAGGCCTGCCCTTGAAAAGTATTTTTTTACAATATCAATAAAGAGTGGATCTATCATATATTTTTTTCCATTGATTATTGTGGGTATCCGTTCAACCTTCTTTTGAGACTTGGAACTCCTTCGAGGTTCCGGACTTGTAGGTTGTGTGTTACCGTCTGCTTGTACACTTGTTTGTTGATTGCGCATCACAGGTATCGACTTTTGCTGTTGAGTGGTAACAGATTTTCTTTGCAAAGACTGAGTTTGTCCAGAGTGTATAGGCAGAGGTACTGTTTGGACAGGCTCGGTTTGTGCAGGGTGTAAAGGTATAGGTATTGTTTGGACAGGCTTGGTTTGTAATGTTCTTGGTGATGGATATTGCTTAGATTCAGTTCCCCCAGAACCTAACTGCTGGGGTGCATGTGGATTTTGTATATATGACGTTTTTCCAGGCTTTAATTTTTGCGGCATAAATTGCTGATCAATTGGCAACTGTCGTAAAATATTTGATGATGAAATTTGTAAATGCCCTTTATTTGGCATTACTCGTTGGTAAACTGGAATGTTTCTCCTCAGTTCTTTCCGTTGTTGGATGGGTTGAATTTGTAAGGACTTTGATTGTAATGGCTGTATAGGTTTCATTTTTTCAGGGACTGGCGGAGTGGAATTAGGTGAGTTATATAATGTATTAGATGAAGGATCAATCTGCCGTGGTTCCATTCTTCTTGCAGCTACATTCTTATAAACAGGAAAAATTTGAGATTTCGAATCAGACCATGAATTGTGCGAGTGCTTGAAGTGTGATGGCTGTTGAGGAATAGGTCGTGTTTGCATAACCTCCAGTGATGAAACCTTTGCAAAATCTCTTTTCTTTGATTTCAAAGTATTAGTAAAACGCAGATTTTGTAAGGGTTTTGATGATGTCTGAGTATTCTCCATTGTTGTTGGTGCCCGCTGCTGTTGAACAGGTGGATTTTGAAAGCTGGTGGATGATATTTGCGCTGGATTCGTTCTCTTTGGTGCTATTTGCTGGGGAGTCTGTGGATTTTGTATTGCATATGATGAAAAATCTTGTTTATTATTAATTCTTCGCGGCATTAACTGGTGATCGACTGGCAAGTTTCGTAAAATATTAGCGGATGAAATTTGTATATGTTCCTTTTTTCGTGGAACTTCATTTTGGTCGACTGAAGGTATGTGTTGCATATTATTATCCGATGATATTTCTGTGTATTTATTTCTGTTTGGCACTCTGTTTTGTGGAAAATTGGGATTTTTCGAGACAATGGATGATGAATTTTGTCCAGGGCGTATTCTTTGTTCTGCATTCTGCGAAAAAGGTGGATCTTGTAAAACACCTAATTGTGACGATTGTGTACGTCCCATTCTCGGTAGAGTATTTTTCTGAAAAGGAAGTGGGGTTTGAAGGGCACTAAATGACGTCTTTGAACCTTGAAATCTTGACCATCCACGTTTCGGTAATTGAATTCTTGGCGAAACATTGGATGGTGAATTTTGTCCTTGTAGTTTGGATGTTGGATGCTGCTGACGACGTAGAGGCTTTTGTATACCACCAGATGTTTGTATCTTTATTGGCTGTGATAACTGTTGTTGCATTTTTGCTGCATTGTTTGGATTATTGTACATTTGTTCCTGTTTCCTCCTTCCTGGTAGAACTTGCTGCGGAGTATGTGCATTTTGATGTTTATTGAATGTTTGTACCGTTTGGCGTGAATTCGTAAACTGTTGGTAAGGTAAGCTAGCTGTGTTCGAACGTAACTGTTCCTTTTGAGACTGAATTGCCGTCCTTTTTGGAGCTGGCGGAACAAATTCATTACTGACAACCGGACTCCCAGTAGGTAACGTCCTCGATCTAGGAGAAGGAGTAGTTTGAACTGCATATACGGATACTCTACTCTGAGATGTGCTATAAGCTGTATTGGGATAAGGGCTTCCTAGACTACTTCTCTGAATTCCAGGCGCCATAGTCACTTGAGTGGAAGGCATTCTCGACAAAAGATTGCCATGATTCGTTTTCACTCCAGGTTTTGGTAACTTAGTTCCCATCAGAGCTGCTAGTCTAGGATCAGAAATACGCACCTCATTTCTCCCGCCTTTTTGTACAGGAGAATTTATGCTACGAATTGGCATGCTTAATCCTGTAGCCTTTGGAAAGGTTCCTTGGACAGTATTACGGTTTGTCTGAGAAAAAAAGAGCACATATCTAACATCACATCATCTGACTTTGAAATGCTGTGTTAATCTTCTATCATTCTAACACCTACTTTGAATTCAGTTGAATATCAGCATTAAACAATATAAGGATTTACTCAAAACCATCTTTATTTTTTTCAGAAAAAAGCTTTTTCATCAGAAAGTATGAAAAAAAAATAGTCCTTACCGCTGCAATGATTTGTCCAGAAGTGTGCAAAAATAAAATCATTAAACACATCCATTGGAACGGAATATCCATGCTTATATCCCGGGCTAAACGAAAGTGTTAAAACACTCAAGTTAAGTCCCAAAGAATATGCTACTTGTATGCCTACAGATCTACTAGTGTTGTTCCAGTATTTTTGTTGATTAATTGTTTGAAGCTAAATAGATCATCTATTGCGTACATAAATATCGGCCAAATATCATGATCTATTTAAATATATTCCAATTTCCAGAAAGAATTTAGCGACACCGCCTCGAGGTGGAAACCATTTTCTTCATAAGGTAGGTGTTCAGAAGAGGCCAAACCAAACACAGACACACAAAAAACTTTAATCGTTAGCAATTATTACGTTTGTATCATTACAAAGACGGAACATGTGCATCATTAGCTGAAAGGTGTCAAGAGTGATCAGAATTTTTATATATTCTCTAATTCATATACTGCATCCGCCTAATGATTGAAATACGTGAGCAGAATATCAGAGTCCTTTCCAAATAATAGTGCTCTAGTCCAAAGTAATAAAAAAAATCTCCCGGAAGATCGCTCATTTACGTCTTGAAGTCAAAATTTCAAACCAATATAACTTTATGAATAATTTTGACAATGTAACAAAAATTTCATAACATGTTTGAATTTAAATGTTATTACGAATTACGAATTTTTAAGCAATTACACTGAATAAAACTCAAAATATTAAAAATTAAAAATTTTGACTTAAGTTTGTTCTCAGTTTATTGTCTTGAAGACAGGACAGCGTTGTTTTCGAGCAACAATTTGTTTCTGCATACTACTACATGTATGATAACAACAAATTAAACAACATTTTTGGTGTGGAATGTCGGATTTGTGAAACACTTTCAGCTTTACAGAGTACTACTTCATTTTCTTCAGGTAAAAAAACATGCACATCTTACCAAGAAAATATTTGGCTAGAGAGAGATTAGATATAAACTCAAAGTCCATATGGAATAAAAAGAAAGCATAACTCATTAATTAAACATGATAATTAGTAACTTTTTTAGTTTTTATTATATTTTTTTGATCAGTATTTATAGATATGGCATCTCATTACCATACCTAATGTGCCTCCCTCATTTCTCTTTGTCCATTGTATTAAAATGAAATTCTCCATAAATTTTTCCATTCTTTATTTAATATATTGTCATTATGCTCCATGAAATAACAATCAATCTGTCTTTCATTCATTCAATGCTTATTGATTATATAAACCTTTTTTAACAATCATTCAATCTAATATGACTTGTCTGTATTTATAAGACGTGTCTTCCAATGATGTATTTGGAGGAGAATAACTTTTATACACTTATGGTATATCTACATCAATTTTTAAAGGCAAGAAATAACAGAAAGAAGACAAGAGAGAGATTTTGAATAGCACATTTTTGCAACTCTAACAAAACAAGTACTAAGGTGACAACAAATAAATATCATAACTGTGGTTATTTGATTTTCACAGAGGTAATCACGGAGACATACAATTTCTGTAATTGTCTACTTTCACTTTAATAATAATGCTGTCATCTTTGATGTAGTCCCTCGTTTTCAGAATTTCCTGAGACACAAACTTGGGGTACCCGAATCCCAGAGCAGTCGTGTCTTTGATGGGTTTCTGGAAGTGTTTCCATGTAGGATCTGGGACGAAGCTTTCTGTGATGTTGGCCCTCAGGTCATAATCCAAATTCTGGTCATATATGGAAAACGAAATTGGCAACATAAAAGGCCACTCCAGAATGTTGTCATATTCACCTGGGAGGATTTTTATGTACACAGAAAGGTATTTTCCTTCTCCTGCCCCATTTCCATTCAGGAACACAGAGGCGGCCATTTTGTATCCATACCTAGATGTGTAAAATGGCTCACTGACAAGTTCTACACCTTTATATGCAGACTCTAGGAATTTCTGTTTATAGTTTGAGATTTTCCAGATGAACTCGCCATCTGTGATATGTGTGAGTGAGTACAATGCATTGCACAGCTGAGTTATTTGAGTTTGTTGAGTTTTGGATAAGTCACACATGAGTTTAAGGTGATGCTGGACACCATCTGTTATGTGCTTTTCCATGCTGAATCTTGGACACTGCATAAACAAACACACAAATCATTATTTTTGGAAATTCCTTAGTGGACATTTTCCTTTCTAATTATAAATGTCAAGATCTCTTATTTAGAATTTTCAGGATATATACATGTAGTTGGCTATTAAAGGTAATGATGAAATTTGATATTACACCAACTGCAGAAGGATTAATTATTTCAAAATTTCCATGTAAGTTAAATTTCACTTCACATAGTTCTTTTTTTAACACTTCACTGAATTGCTGTAGAAGGGTCTGTGAGACATTTGCCCCATTTCTTTTCTTTCTTTTTTTTTTTTTTTTTTTTTTTAAATTTTTACAAAGCCAACAAGTGAGTCTTTAAAAGGGAAGTTAACTCTTACCTTATGCTTACACCCAGCCTCTTTAAATGAACAGGAAATGGTGGCTGATGGACAGATTTCTGAGACATGGAGGTCAAGGTCCTCACGGGGGATCTTTGTGGGGTCACACCTGTTGGGGCACACCACAGGGTACCTAGGACACTGGTACTGATGAGTCTACAGAAGAATTTAAACACTTCCAGATACAATTCCTCATTTTAGGTAAAACATTGCTCATAAATTTCCTGTATTATATCACTAGCATTAAAATATTTTTTTCCTTGTTATCTTGAAATATAGTGACCATTGCTTGCCAATATAAAGCTTCCCACTCCTTTTTTGTAACATTCTCTTATCATAAGAACATAGTTCACTAACAGTTTTAATTAACACTTCTTTGTCCAGTACCTGTACAATGTACAGTACCTGTAATGTTTCCTGTACAAACTCCCTGTTGCAAAACTGACAGTGGACCGTTCTTTTGTGGCACTCATTCCTCATGTGGTTGCCAAGAAAACGCCGCTCTAGGCGGGCACCACATTTGTTTTCACACCACATAACTTCTGATATACACTGGCCAGAATGTTGCTGTAAGCATAAATTCTTGTCTTATATATACTTGTGTACATAAAGCTTAACATTTCTACCAATAAACATGACATTTCTAATCATGAAGTAAGTAAAGTGCAACATCAGCACCAACAGAAACCAGCACCAACTATTTTAAAGAAAATTGTTTCCATCTCTAATTACCTTTTCATAAACATCCCCAGGAAACTTTTTCCCACAATATTCACACACAACCTGTCTTCTACAGCAGGTAAATTCTAGGTGGTCCTCCAAGTCTAAACGTGACAGAACGGCCCCACATCTTTGAGGACAGGGCACAGCATCAAACTGGCACTCGTCTAGATGTGCCTGTGGAGAAAAAAAGAAAAGAAATACATTAGAGTTATTCCCCTTAAACTGTACAACACAAAATGTCATCTGTTTAATTTTTGTTCATGAATTTTGTTTAAAACCTGTTTTAGTTAGGTTTGTAAAAGAAAATAAAAAATATAGATCAATATTGTCATCTTACATGGATGACAATTAGGATCATTTATCCATTATGACATCATCTTGTAATCAGAAGCCTTTTATAAATTTTTCAGTAATGAAATCTGCATAATCAACCACTATATCATCTATCTGCATATACTTTCAACTTAATTAAAAAAAAAACTTTCAATAATTAAGAAACTGGAAATTTTTAATTTAAAACTAGACATGGGGTGTCAATATTTTATACACCTGATGAGCTGGACACTATGTAAATGGAGGAGAGATATTTGATGACATGCTATGATATTACACAATTTGAAAATTATCAATATTTAGAAACCATATGTTACATTTATAAAGTGTGTTGCATGGTAATATAAAAACAGTGACATTCAAACCCTAGCAAAACAAAAATAAATGAACCACATCAAATAAGGAAATATGATAGACAAATATTTCCTCTCGATGTGTAACGGCTAAGGTATAAACATCTTTCATACATAAATAAATGGAATGCCAACATTACCTGAAGATTCATAAAATTGTAAACAACTTAGTCCTATTTATTAAAATAGATTTTACTTTGCTCCTATACCATATTAAAATTTCAATGAAATGAAGAAATTGGTAAAATCAGTAGTGCAAGTAAATTCTGCTGTTTAACTCGATCTCTAAAGAATCCACTTAAAGTATACTCTAGAGACATTTTTAACCATTCTTTGTTAAATATCTCCTCACAATTTCCTTTATCTCTCTGTATGTTTAACCTGATTTTACTCTGCTTACAGATGTTACTATTTTCATCACTGAATACCCTCTTTGGCTGTTTGTTTTACCTGTAAGATCTGGAGTTTCCCAATCCATCGACATCCGTCCTTAGAATTCCGACACCTCACTAGGCTGTTCATGACCTCTGTCGTCAGATCTTCATCGGGATAAATCTGTAACGACATTATATGTAGATATAGTCTCTATGATCGGGATACACAATGCCATCCCCCTCCATATGTTACCAGTATTAATGGTCCACTGTGTGTGTGAGTATTCTATCTCCCATACCAAATGTTGTCTCCAATACTCTAATTCACTGCTGTTTTGTCCATAAAAATTCTCATCACCATAAAGTCAAACTTAAAATAATTCTCCTGAGTATTCTTTCATGTAAAATGAGTCAACTCCAATTTAAAAGCAATTGTAGGCAATGTTGGGCTAAACTTCTGTTGAAGGTCATAAACAAGGTTTCAGTTCCTATCATATATCCCTCACAGTATTTTACAAGATATCCATGCATTAAAAAAAAACTAATCAATTATTAAAATCTCGGGTAAAGAGGATGAAAGCTTTGTTGTTCCACACCTGATTAACATAGTCTCAGCTTTTAATCTGAAGCTTCATATGAATTTTTGATGCTAATGACAAAGCCTGTTTCAGACATGCTAGAGATACATCTACTGGTACTCTGACCACAGCTTTGTTGTGGGGTAACAGAGTATTGTTGTTGGGTAATGCATCTTTGTTATGGGATAACAATATATACCACCTAGATTTCTGTTCATCTTTTAGATTTTTTTTCTAGTTTTGTTAATTTTCTTTTGTGAGACTATTGACTTGGTTAAATGTTTTTCTTCATTGTCATCCACCGCAAGTTATTTTTTTACTCTGTCTACATCTATTATGAAAACAGAGTTTTAAATGTCAGAATCTCTTGAATCTCAGACAGTTTCTATACTCCGATATATGATAAGAACTACTTGGTGATTTAAAGGCAGGATCTTACTTATATTTCTGAAAATTAGTTGAATCTATTAACACTATTTTATCCTTTTAAATCTGCTATAGTATTACATGTATTAGCAGTATGTTTAACACAACAACATACCCACAGACTCAGGACTGAAATCAAATCCACATAATGCAGCATAAAATTTTTAGTCAAATATAATACAGTGCATTAGAAGACCAGCTGAATTGATATTTTTTTCCACATTGATGATTTCTGAAGATTAATTCTCCATTACTTTCCGATACTGACTGCACTTTCTGACAAAGACAAGCATCTGTCACCATTCTCATATCATCCTCTGTCAGATAACATTACAGATAAATAGATCCTCTGTCAAAACCTCCCGTTCTTTTACCTACCTTTTTCCTTCCAACTGAAAACATTTTCTTCCATATGCTAGAAAGTACCAGTTGAAATAATTTTGCTTGAAAATATTAACAACACAAAGATGTTGAGGAAACAATTAGTGCATCTAATAAAAATTTCCTGCTCTTTTTAACACTAGACACCAAAGAAATTCAAAGCCCTTTTTTATTGCCTGCATAGCTATAAAATTTCTCAATCACAGTAATTTTATACGAATTCAACAGATACTTTATTAGAAGCAAGGAACAACATTCCATTCAGTCAATATACTGGAAGTTATTATATTTCAAAATGATGAGCAAGAGGATATCATAAACCTATGCAGACATCAGATTAAAAAAAAACCCATTATAGATCTGAAATGCATTACCTAGAGATGTGTATATTGAAAATTGGTTGTAAATATTGGAAAATTGGTTCTGTGTCACTGATTATCTTTAATTTGCTTATTAGGCAGAAGCACAAAGCATCTGGGGGTGGATAGACAAGTAATTCTTTCTTACCCATCCAAATATTCCCTCCCCAAGTTCTCTCCCTCCCCCTACCTATACCATATCACGTTCTCTTTTTTAATCAATGCCCTTCGTTTTATCTCACAACTCCTTGTCATGTTGCTTCTTTTTTCATCCTCCACTCTATGGCTACCTTCTGTTACTCAGTGTATTTGAAACTCAAAAATAACAAGTATTTTGAACTAGATTGCATATAAAATTTATTTACTGCAAAATTTACCCTATGTTCAAGGACACAAGATTTTCCACCGAAATTTGTCATAGCATACTTTAAGTTCACTTTAGATACACTATGGTAATCCCAGAAATCCATGTGAACATACCAAAGAATTTTAGATTGCAATTATGTCTGATTGAGTATACATGTACCCGAGGATTGAACAGACAATGTGATTCAGCAGAATTTTGGCCCTGCAGAAAAAAAATATTTTTGATATGTGCTTATGTTTTGATATGTGTGTTATCTTTTTTTTTACAGCATTGCTAATGTTTTGATATGTGAGTGATCCTTTTTTACAGCATTGCTAATGTTTTGATATGTTTACAGCATTGTTTATGTTTTAATATGTGAGTGACTTTTTTACAGCATTGCTAATGTTTTGATATGTTTACAACATTGCTAATGTTATGATATGTGTGTGATCCTTTTCTACAGCATTGCTAATGTTATGATATGTTTACAGCATTGCTAATGTTATGATATGTTTACAGCATTGCTAATGTTTTGATATGTTTACAGCATTGCTAATGTTATGATATGTTTACAACATTGCTAATGTTATGATATGTGTGTGATCCTTTTCTACAGCATTACTAATGTTTTGATATGTGTGTGATCCTTTTCTACAGCATTGCTAATGTTTTGATATGTGTGTGATCCTTTTCTACAGCATTGCTAATGTTATGATATGTGTCTGATCCTTTTTTACAGCATTGCTAATGTTTTGATATGTGTGTGATCCTTTTCTACAGCATTGCTAATGTTATGATATGTGTGTGATCCTTTTCTACAGCATTACTAATGTTATGATATGTGTGTGATCCTTTTTTACAGCATTGCTAATGTTATGATATGTGTCTGATCCTTTTTCTTTTCTACAGCATTACTAATGTTATGATATGTGTGTGATCCTTTTCTACAGCATTGCTAATGTTATGATATGTGTGTGATCCTTTTCTACAGCATTGCTAATGTTATGATATGTGTGTGATCCTTTTCTACAGCATTACTAATGTTATGATATGTGTGTGATCCTTTTTTACAGCATTGCTAATGTTATGATATGTGTCTGATCCTTTTTCTTTTCTACAGCATTACTAATGTTATGATATGTATGTGATCCTTTTCTACAGCATTGCTAATGTTATGATATGTGTGTGATCCTTTTCTACAGCATTACTAATGTTATGATATGTGTCTGATCCTTTTTTACAGCATTGCTAATGTTATGATATGTGTCTGATCCTTTTTCTTTTCTACAGCATTACTAATGTTATGATATGTGTGTGATCCTTTTCTACAGCATTGCTAATGTTATGATATGTGTGTGATCCTTTTCTACAGCATTGCTAATGTTATGATATGTGTCTGATCCTTTTTTACAGCATTGCTAATGTTATGATATGTGTGTGATCCTTTTTTACAGCATTGCTAATGTTATGATATGTGTCTGATCCTTTTTTACAGCATTGCTAATGTTATGATATGTGTGTGATCCTTTTCTACAGCATTGCTAATGTTTTGATATGTGTGTGATCCTTTTTGCAATCTTAAAAATTCATTTGTAATGAAACAGGAATAAATATGATGGAACAATAAACAATACTAGTACCTAACCCCCAACAGTATGTAATTTAGCTGTTATTCTGCTAAAGTCAATTTGCTTTGTGGGCAACACTGCACTAAAATATGAACTTTTATACAAAAGGAAGGGGGGGGGGGGGGATGAAAGATCAAAACAGTATTCCAACAAGAGCCATCTGAATTTAAGACAGGTGCTCTAAAATTGCTTCAAATAGTACATATTCTATCAGATGACAATACAATATCTTCAACACATACTTCAATTGAAAAATTGTTGTATGGAAACATAAATAAAAGTTATATTGGTACAAATGCAATAAATGAGGACAAGAACTCCATGCTGAACCTACATCATCTCTGCACCCTGTCTAATATAATCTGCATTCATCCCTTAATTGTAAATCAATGAGAAGCAATTAAGCAAAATTTTGAGATGTACAGAAGAGATTTACACCAAAATCCACATCAAGAACCATCAGTTCTTAATTACAAAGACTGTACTTTTCTTGCAAAACAAAGTCCTTTGGTAGAAACAAGAATTTATCAAAGAGAGCCATAATTACCTCATCACCCAGACTCCCCTCCATTTATACCATCCTATTATCAGTTTACAGGACTGCTCCAATAACATGTCCCAACACTGTCATAGTCCCCATGTTACTTTTAACATGTACATGCTGGTTTGGACCTCTCTCCTCTCTTGACCTTTGATGAGGGTCTATAATGATGTTTTATGGTGTATAATGTTGGTGGGCTAGCACATTATCAGACGTTTATCTGTAGGGTCATCCTTTCAACTTCTCCTTATGACATAATCTATCCTGACCACTCAAAATGATTTACTCCCAGCCAAGCAGCCTTTACGTCCACCCATGATCACCCACTATCAGAAGTGACTATCTCCTAATTGTCTGGTCTTAACAAATATAGGTATATTGTATAGATAAGCCTAGAATTGCCAGTTCTTGTTGAGGCATCAACAGATACCCTATCATAACAGAACAAGGTGGCATGACTCATTATTGCCCCAGGTCAGTTCACAGTCAATTTGACAAATGACAGACCAAATATTGTCATGCAAAAAAGTATGATGTAAGAAGCATATGTTATACACTGAAGAACCATTTTCCTTACCTTAAACTTCATAGAAATTCTGTCAAAACTGTGTCCAGTTCATCATCTAAACTAAAACTAAGCCTATCAGGTCAAGCTTCAATCATATGGACAGTTTAAATGATGGATGAGTAAACCAGTAGTGCATGGACCAACCAGCAGCTAATCAGTAAAATAAGCCTCAAATTAGATTCTTATCTCTATAATTAGCCCTCACAAGCCACTTCAGAGCAGGACAAAGTACAGATTTCCATACCCAAACTCCCTGATGTTTGGTCCAGATTATGCTGGAGATACAAGCATGTATTGATTGGAAGTCTTATTAATAAAAAACAAGAGTGCATGCACAGAGCTGTAAAGATTGATGTTACAAATCAGCCATCACAGTAATGGATTCTAATACTGATCTCATTAAAGCAGCCCAAGACTACACTCAATAACCCCAATTTCTTAATGACAGTATCCTATATGCAGAAGCATTGCATTATTGGAATTGCTTCCATCAACTGCCTCCTTGATACGGCATCATTTGCCTGATGCCGTGGAGAACGCACAAAGACATGGATATGGCCTCAGCATGTCTCATTGTAATTGACCTCCTTCACATTTTATTTAGCCTCAGTAGGACAGGAAACATAGTCCATTATGTTCTGATAAATATAATATTGCTCTGAATCAAGTAGCAGTAAGAAATTGACCTGTGAAAAATTAGAATGAAGTCTTACCTGTGCATAATCCAAAGGTGTATCATCCTCTGGACATTTGGAAACACCACCACTACAATAAAAAAACTGCACATTATAAGTGGATACTCCACCACTAGAGTAACAAAAATGCACATTATAAGTGGATACTTTATGACTACAATAAAAACAATGCACATTATAAGTGGATACTCCACGACTTCAATAAAAACAATGCACTTTATATGCAGATACTCTACCACTACAATAACTAAAATGCACATTATCAGCACATCAGTGGAATAGTGAATCAATATTTGTTACATACTTTCATAGACCAACAGATTGTCAAAGCTCTGTTAATAGCCAACCAAATCCATTTAAAGAGAGACAATATTCCACAAAGAAACCTTACTTATAACAAACAAAGAGAATAATTTAGAGCAGCGAAAGTGTAAAACATTAAAGTGTTCAGCCATCCTAAACAAATCTCTGGAATCCTTCTGACTACCTCAGTCTATATAATGTTTGACCAATATCAAATACCAAACAGCCTCTACTTTTAATGACATCTTGATATAAATGTAGTTAAATTGCTTTCCTAAAGGGAATGAATCAGTGGGTAATGGAAGATTTAGGCTAAATAATGATATCATATTGATCCAGAAAATATAATCATTCCAAATTTAACAGATTATTCAAATATCATAACAAGTTTGAGACATTTTTAATTGCTACTCTCTTAGGCAAATTTATCCATCGATTTTTTTTTTGTAATTCAACATGCAGATCTAAAGGCAGATGTAGCCGACAGTTCACTGCAGTCTGTTGCCAACATTCATCATATTAAATATGATAATACAAATAAAATTTCATGTAGGTATTTTTAAAAAGAAGTTCCATCTGAAGGTTTCTATATACTAAAAGTCAAATTAAACAAGACTGTGATGCAATATGTGCAAAAAACATTTAAGAAAAGAACCATGTAATTAAATCAGAAAACCTTGAATGAAAGCCAAAGAAAGGCAATATATGTAGGTACCAATTGTCCTACACTACAATGAGCATCAGGAATTTTGAAATTATATATGAAAACACTCTTTTGTTACAAAATAAAAGCAAAAGAAGTATTAAAATTTTCCAAACCAGAAAGTTTTCCTAAATATTGAACACCCATCAAAGAGTGAAAAATAATAATCATACACATTTTGATATTATAAAACTTGACACACTGAAAGTACACATTATTTACAGTCATGCAACAAAACTATCTAAATACCACATTCACTGAGGATGGGTAAAAATCAACAACTCCATCATAAAAATCCTTTACTCTCTCAAGTTAAAAGTCACCTTGCTATCAAACACACACCCTCCAAATCCCTGAATTAAAGCTCCCCTGTCAAGATGGTAATTAGTGGTTACAGACTACAACAAATCCTCTTTGTCCCTGCTACTCATGAGGGAAGGTCCAAACCTCTGACCATGACTTAGCCTCTGGCTCCTTGCTGTGAAAATTATGCTAAAGTGGATAGCTCATAAAACGCAGTTAACTCTACCCAGGAAATAGACCCAGCCACTGAAATCAACCACACATTGTGTATTGATCGACAGTTTGAGATTTTTATCCAAGAGGCATAAAATATTGATCACATCCAATCTTGCTTTTTTATTTCCAGTTGCACAGATGTTTGTCTTCATTTACAAGAGAGAATATTACTTCCATATCTCACCTCAGCTGACAGCGTTATTAATAATCAGCTGTTAATTGATACATAATCATGTACTTAAGTGACACTGGACACAGAAATGCTCTTACACTGGCCTGAAGCAGGAAGACAGAGGCTTCCCTGTCCATGCAGTTCAAAGATACAATGTAATATTACACTTAAATGTAAAAGCAGTTACACAACTGATTACTAGTCTGACAAGTTTATTGATGTCTTATCTTATTTTTTCAAGAAAATCAACAAACAATTTCACTTCATTATGGAGCTGATTTTTATACCATTTTAGATACAACAAATTTAAACTTCGAAAAAATTAAATTTCTGGTTTTACCTCAAATCTACCAGTTTCATACATGGAATTAATTCTAATTACACTAAGTAATTAATATATTAGAATATATCTTACTGTTTGATGTGTTGCAGAAGTTTAAGGCTAGCCCTGTACAGATCATTTCTCTGGACCTGAGGAGACAGTTCCTCTACTCCCATCTTCCTACAGAGGACAAGTTAAAATAAACCCAGAAAGGACAAAAATGCTAGATTTCTCCCCAAAATCTGACAGATGGGGATTAACTGTAGGTGACAAAACCTGCCGTTTTGATTGGTTAATTTTCCAGGAGGCACACGACACAGCTGCCAGCATTTAAATCTTCACGCTTATTTTGAACTTTTGCCTCAATTGACCATAAAGGGTGTTTTGTTGGGATACCGTAATTCGCAGAGCATCGGCACGCGTTCAGGCCCCGGTCAGATCAAATATAACAAAGGGGAACAATAACTACAAAAAATGGACTGGAATATGAAGAAAATTATAAAATTTTGGAGGCAGATTGGGTTCATTTTGAAAATATTTGTTTGATCTTTTCAGAGATTATTTACAGTTTAAGCTTGGGGGCAGGTGCTAACTTTATTTGTGTCAATATCCTCCCCATGTTAAACAAAGCAGCTCCACTAAATTCCATACAAACATCTTTTTCTTTTTAAAATTCTGCAATACATCTTATTGTCTTATCACCTGCTATCCAAATATGAATTGCTAAATAGCAAAACCTATGGTTTCACCTGCCAGAAGAAATTTATAGATAACCAGTTTTGCAGTTTGATTTGAATGAGAAACTATGAAGAACTTCTATGATCAAACTGCACTATGATTAATTAAAATGCATGTACATCTGTGTAATTACATTGCAAACCTTTTCCAGGAAATGTCTATAAAAATTCCTTTGAAGGCTACTGGCCACAGTATAAGCTTGATTTCCCAACAGGGCTGACAATACAATGTACATTTTATTCACACATACAATAAATTAATTAATGGACACTTATTCAAATCAGCAGGGTGCTTTCCTATCTTTACAGTCAAATCATCAATAAATGAGACACAGTGTGTTCCTTTCTGATATGTCAAATAAAAAAATCCTTACTGCCATACAAGCAAATCATTAATTTTCTATGATCAAGAATACAAAAAATATCAATATTTGCTGTCAACTTTTTTTTTTTTTTATCTTTCACACCTTTTTCTCCGCAGACCTCATCTTCTTAGTGACAACAACTAGGATCAATGAGAACTGGGTTTTTTTAGACAGATCAATTTTTGTCCTTCTGTCAGCAACATTCACTTACAATTGCATACCTAGTACAAGCAGGAGGTCATTTTAGCTTGGTTGTACTATATGTAAAAATTATCATGTCTTCAGTGGAGACATATATTTCTGCTTTAAAAGAAATTACACCTCTACATAAATTTTTCCCATGTTCAAGCACCCTAAGTTAAGATAATGTTTTCCCATATCATGTTTATTACGTTCCATAAATCTATGTACATAAAACAAAAGACACAGTTCACTATAAACAATGTGGGGTATCTTCAATTCACCATACACCCTTATCAGCTGAGAAGTTAATATACCGGTAGTCATATTTTCATGGTTGAAGGCAAAAATATATGTGGATTACAAAGTGAAACCTGGAAATGTTAAAATGTTCATCTCAATAATGATCCAATGACTTACCTATAGCCTCTGAATTCAACAATTAGTCCAATGCATGAAGAAATAAGTGGTTATAAATTAATTATTGGCCTATTTGTTGATATTTACTTGTGCATATGTTTCATATTTCATTATCTGTATGGCCCCCTGGGTATAAAACATGCAAAGATAGGTTGATAACCTATCAAAGACATCTGCCACTTAAACTGTATTTTCACACTTAATTGATAACAGAAATATTGAAGGAACTTAGACATGTGGAGCTTTAGATGTACAGCATTAATTTTGGATGGTGGATGATTTAGGGAATAAAATGACTGATCATTAATACATCACGTCTTAAAAAAAAAAATTACCTACATGTATATGAGGAAAAATGAAAAACCTTTTGATCTGCATTATATATGCAAATGTTTAAAGTGATTTACATACAAATGAGGATGATTCAACTTCAGTGGTAAAATGTAACAAACTT